AAAGGTAACAGATCTTTGTAATACTTGGTTTATTTACATAATAACTTTAATTGCTGGATGGTCAGCCCCTCAGCTGTTGACCGGCAGTAACTGTGGCCCCCGGAGCAATTTGGTTGAATAACCCCGATATATAGTGTTAGTTCATGAGCTAACAACATTAGCTCAGGCATTTTTACAGTYTTTRTTTTATAGTTGAAGTAAACGATTATCAATTAATCTCTAATGTTACAAGTAATTGTAAATCCTTTATGAAAACTAAACACATCAAAGTGTTACTTTGCTTTTTTCTTCAGTGAGTCTTGTATGCTCTGTGTGAAATATTCAACATTGCTGCAGGGCTACATTTACACACCGTACTAACATTTAAATAGTTTTATTTATGTGTTATAAGTGTGAACCTGCAGACATCCATTAATAAATAGATGTTTTACCTGAACCCAGCAGCTTAGTGTGGACAGTCTCATGGAAGATGACCACCGCAGGGCCCAAGGTGGACAGCGGGACGTCCAAGCCACAGCGGGCTGTCGTGGCTTTAAGCTCCTTGGTGAAATGCTTCAGATAAGCATCCGACGCATCACCGAGAAACTTGAAAAGGTCGTCGTGGAGGCGGTCTGCGTGGGTGCGATAAATGATGAGGTCGGAGATGGCGAGCACCTTGAGTAAGAGACGGGTCCTCTGACCCTGTTTGGAGCTGTTCCCAAGAAGTCCCTCCGTGTCGATGACCACGACTTTATGCACGGGGTCAAATGCYGCCCACACGCCCACCGTGCACGACTCCTGCGCGGGGGAAGTCTTGAACACCTCTCGACCCGCGAAGAACGTGTGGTTCAAGGTGTGCGATTTGCCCTCTCCCGTGTTGCCAAAGATGGAGACCACCTTCAGCAGCTGATCGGGGTCACAGCAGAGGCTCTCCACGAACGAAGCCTCGTCTTTAATCTTGGAAAGAATAACACAAAGCTCATGAGTAGGTTTAAAAATGTGTAAAAAAATTAGGAGTGAATTAAATAAACTGTTTTTTCCCCCACCACAACTCACCTGCATATCTTCATTCTCATCAACAAGCAGAAAGCTGGATACCGTCCCCAGAAGTTTGGTTCTACGAGACTCAGCCTCATCGATGATTTGAACAACGTGCTCAACGGATTTCTTGACAGAGTTGACTTTTGCAGGTTTGGGTGGTGGWGGATAAGGTGTGAGCTGGTGTTTCTTCTTGCTGCTGCCACTGTGGGTGCGTTTCTGACAGTCTTGGCACAAATTGACTTTGCAATTCTGGCAGCGGACCACAGATCTGTGACACCTGCCACTGTCTCCGTTACCTCCTTTACAGGTGTCACAGTAGGGCACGTGCCCAGGACCTATCGGGACACGCTCGTGGTTCGTAAAACTCTCCTGTCTGTGGAGCTCGAGCTCGCACCGAACACACTGTAGGCTTTTGCAGTCATCGCACTCAAACACAGCCTCTTCAGAACCACCACAGGAATAACTTTCCTGACATATTGGACTAGTATTAACTCCTTTTTCAGAGGATGARCCATGGCCACTCATTGTTCCTCACAGGGGAAACTAAACACAGACTAGTGCTTATTGGAACAGCTATGACAACAGCACCAGCTAGTTCCAATAAAATACTCAACATCCACTAATGCTGATCTGAAATGACAAAATGCTTTAACTTTAATGGAAGCTTGCCACAAACCTTAACAGTGATAGTGTGAAACGTGCTTTTGCAATTTCAATTCCAACACTTTCACACAAGTTGATTTACTGAGTAAACAAACAAACAGACAAACAAAAAAGTCTGACTCCTTTAGATACGTTCAGTATACTTGTGCAATAAGTTCAGTTGGCATTTAGGTGATAAATAAAATAAAAAATAATAAACAACACTTCAATTTTCTTTTAACAATATTTTCACTGATAACTTACTGAGGAAAATTAACACAGAATGAATTATTCACTTCCGACCAAGACAAAGAGCTTTCCCTGAAATAAATATGTGCAAATGTTGATGCTAGCAGGCTAACTAGCAAGCTAACCCTTCAAAAGCTTGCCTTGAAATTCGGCTTACAATTGAGAGAAGAAGAAGAAATATTTGGCTTACAGATATTTGAACTTTTCTACAAAGGAAAGCAGCTATTAGCGAGCCAGCAGATAGCTATYGTCCAAACAAGCAGCTAGCCTTCAGTGACACGAATCTGCCGACAACTGAGCCGAAGTAGCATAAATAAAACCGTGGCTGTATGTCAGAAATGACTGGCTTAAAACGGGAGAGAAATCCGCGCGATTCCGTTACAAAAGTCTTTAAAAGTGTTACTGTGTTGGTGTCCTGCCGGGCGGTGTCATTGTTTTGTTCTTCTGCCCCCTCCCTGGCAGATTTTCTCTAGCTACGTTTTGTTGTTGCTAGGTCACATCAGCTGATCGGATTATTTTCGGTCACAGAGGTCGGGGGGAGGGTCACTGCAGTGCGGTTGCATGACGGGAAATGTAGTTCTGTCGCACAAGCTTGCCAACTCACCTTATTTTATGTCAGCTTTTAAGCTTGTTGATTATAACCGACTATACATAATATTAAAAAAACATATCAAATTACACATTTTAAACAGAACTTACTATATAAAAACAGACTCGAATGATACAGGTTGGCAAAAAAGACAGATTTCAGTTTAKGAATAATTGGCTGCAATACCAATATTGATCGGCAGGTGGCAGTATTTCCACACAAAATGACGTTTCTTTGAACTTTAATCACTATAAAATGAGAGGGATGAAAATCGCAGTTATTCAAACGCATTAATAACACATCTCACTCCTTTTTAAAATCAAAAACATGAAAAAATGTAGCTTTCACATTTTTGTATTAACAAATTATTATTATAGCACAAATTGGTGATGGTATCACATTTGATTTTTAGGARCATTCAAGTTTCCCTAACCCAACGAAGGTAAATACAATATTAAGAAAATACTCCCCATAATTAAATACTTGAGCATTTCTTTATTTATATAGCCAAACTTACCAATTAATTAGGAGTTCATACCACAATGTACTAAAATGTTCAGCTTTCGTTTAAACAATTTCGTTATTTTATTTTATTTTTTTGTGGTGGTTCATGCATCAAAAATAAACACAGCTGTTGTTATGTTTTCGATGACAATACTGTGAACATGATTTGGCAGAATAGTGCTGCTTCCAAAAGTGCCACACAAGGCAAATGAAAGGGCAAAGGTCACAGCTGTATTGGYATTGTTAGACTGTCATCAGCTGAAGTTTATAGCATCAACACGGTGTGCGATGGTTCATCCTGTCTCTTTTTTAGGGTARCCAAGTTCAYAAATACACTCAATTTCATACAAATACWAATTRAAATTACTGCAAACTGGTTGTTATTTGTTGGTGTGCAAACCGACTGTTGTACAGATTAGAGGTGGATTATAAGGAAGTTGGGATAATAATTATTTATGACGGAGCTCATCCTGCATTATATGCATGTGGCATTTTATCATGTGAAGTCTCAGTTTTAAATTAAGCMTTTTCTGTCATTAGTCTAATTGTTATTAACACAATGTATGTACTGTATTTCATTCAGTATTTTGCTTATTGTTTCACAGAATTGAGATTGTATTTCTTTTCTGCACTAAATGTTTTCCACTTCTTCTTCTGCACAATGTCCCAGCTGTTCTGCAGAAATGTTTTACAAGCTCAGTAAAATGTGATTTCAGGAGCGGGAAACATTTGGGGGGGGGGGGGGTGAAAATGCCACTTTAACAAAGTGCTGCTCCTTATCTGCAAGAGCCTGCAGGAAGCTCTGGGAGCATTGTGTTTTGAGGTCTCTGCTTCCTGTTTGCCATCGTTTCTCACTCACTCGTTCTCTTCTCCCTCGCACTCCCACCCCTTTTCCCACCACCTGGGGTGTAAAGGGGTAGAAAAGTATTCTCTGTGGGAGGACGACAACATCTGGTTCTCTCTCCCRCCCCTGGCACACATTATGCTGCAAGGCCCGCACTTGTGCTGCACCTCCGACAGCTGTGACTCACAATGYTGTTCCTTCATCCAAGGTAAAAGTCAAACACAGGAAACGGTCTTTAAATATGTCTGGGATTAAAAAAGTTACATTTCCTGTATCTTYTTTTTTTTATCACRYACCACACAGGGCAGATCTTTCAAAATGTCCAGTGTTTCTGGAGAAAGAAGCTCTCCTGTGAGCAGCAGATGTCAGTATTGTGTTGATGATGGCAGCTCAGGCTTCACTCATACATCCTTAACTGTAAACATGTTTTGTGTCCGCATTCTCACACTCWGTGCATGACTAGACATCCAGCAATGCATCCTGACATAGATTTATGGAGATAATCTGCTTAGTAAGGATCTCCGTGCAGCTTATGGGAACCCCCACAAGGCATCCAGCAAACACCTAATTCTGCATTTTCATAATGAAAAGAGCAATTTGATGATTATCATCTGACTCCTGACTTGTTTAAAGGCGCCTCACGCCGCAACTCAAACACCTCCGAGCCAAACTCAGACGTTAATCCAGCGTTTATTTAATGTGACAACAGCCGAAAGTTCATGTTGTCGCTCAAAGCTGACAACAATAGAGAAATCTGTCAGAAAGGTGTTAAAAGATTACGCCGCTCCCTAAGCCAGAGATCAACAGGGCCCATTGCAGGCAGGTCAGGAGGCTGACACAATGACAAACTACTGACAAACAAACACTTTCCTATAATATCGAATGTGAACAAAATGTATACACTCCTCCAGCATCCCTGTTTAGAACCTAAACAATGTGCAGGATGACAGTTCAGACTAACTGGCTGCAAGTTTTGCACAAAACACAAACCACGATGCGTCACGGTTCATAAATGTATGCCTCGTTTAAAAAAACTGAACTCTGGTTGTCATCAACAGGGTGACGGAACTGATGACWGCGTTGAATATGCTCCACTTAGACAGGTTCATTTTGTTTTTCAGTTCAAGCGAAGTAACAGTTTTACAAGTCATTTGTATTTTATTATTATTTTTTATAAYGTAACKTCATTCTAATCAGTCATGATTAATCTTTGTTTTTACATTTTGTAACCTCCTGCTAAGCAGCTTTTACTGTTTTTAAATAGGATTTAAATTAGTTTTGATTGTGATGTTTTGTAGAGTATGAGGATTAAAGTGACACACCTGATTTAATGAGCTCGTAATTAAAATAATTCAGTCTAAATTAGTGTGTTATGATACAATATATAAAAAATAGCTTACATTTATGGGGTTAAAATGTGTCTTTGCTTTAAGTGTTAAGAAGAAACGGTTGTGCTGTTTATTTTTTAGAAATGGATTTTAATGAMATTATCTTTTGAAAAGTTATTTATCTTTTTAACTTGAGATAACAAAGCTACTTTTTATTGTATGTATTTAATGATTTCAGCCTAGAATATTGTAATATATAATATTAGCACGGCACAATTAAATAAATCAGGACACTTAATCTGGCAGATGATTCAAGCTGAAAGTGTCACATAGAGAACATTCATTATCATCAATATAAATCATCTCCAAGTGTTTATGACAACGATGCTGAATGATGAAACAGAGTGTAACACAAGAACCAGTCATTTATGCAGCAAAATTATTTCTTTATCTTGARAAAACAAAGCTTGTTTATTTTTAATGTTGTCGTCTTGACAAAATGAGCCTTACAAAACAATAAACCATTAAATAAGTGACTATATTGATCTTCAGTGCAACAGAAATAGGCCTAGATTTATTGCAGTCTTGGATGCGGAAGATGCACTGTGCCTTAATGCAAGCGTTTATTCATTATAAAGAATCGAATAAATTCTCAAAGGACACAGACAAAACTTAAAATACTGAGTTTTTATTTAAAGCGTAACATGCAGCTGTCCTGTCCTGTAGCTCAGGATCCAGCCTCGCTCTCATATCAGCTCAAATTCTAGCATATGGTCATTGCACAAGTGATTCATGGGAATTCAGACCAGTGTGGCCAAGCCTCCCACTCTTTCACTTCGAATGCTGTTGTTCAAATTCTTGACTAGTAGCCAGCAATAGAAGGGAAGCATAAACCACAACTATATTAATCCTGTGACTCGGGATAAAATCTCATCTTCTTTGTTGGATTGGGGCATTTGCATAATCTGAAGCGATGTATATTCACTCTAGTCTTTTTTTTTTTTTTACCAGCTTGGGTTAAATATCACGTGCTAACTTTAGATAAAGCCTATATGTCAAAGRGATTTTTGTTAGCATAGTTACTCCTAGTCCATTAAAGGATGACAAGGGCTCAAAAGCAGCCAGCTAATCCCACTTTACCCTCCATAGAGCATTAGAGGGGTCTGGCCTTGGTCTTTTATGGGATATCACCATTTAAACCTGTCAAAATTGTATCTTGACTAATTTGCTTGGTGGCTGTAGTCATGGGAATATTACTTTAAATAAATAACTTGTTTACAATTGTTATATAATATTCAATAGTAGTTGATCCACAGCATTGGATGTATTAATTTAATAATAAAAAAACAAGGGATGATTTAGGCAGTGGCTAATACAATTCTGGAAAGCCAGATAAAACCTGAATTATAAAATAAAAAGAAAATAAGATGAAATGAGCTCAATCTATCTTTTTCTTAACTTATCTTGACCTTCAAACTGACTGTGTGAGAATATTGAAAATACAAAAATAAACAAATATAGACATCCATATCAGCTCCTCAATGTTTGAATTTAATTACTGGAAACTAATAACTGCAATAAGAACATTGCACTTTGACCTTTGAATTAAAAGTATTTTCAGATTGTTGGCTCCACATCAGTGCACACAGCAGCACATGTTCTTCCACGGCCCGATAAGAATCGGGTGAGACAGGAAACTCGGCAGCGATTGGTTGATTAAAACGAGAACATAATCTTTCCAACGAGATCAAACTTCCAGACAAAATCAAGGCTTCATTAAGTCGAATTACACACTTGGAAACATTCGAGTCAATACATTAAACATTCTCTGGCTGTCCGTTTGCATTACCTAAATGATTACTTTGCAGATGACAGAATGCCTTTTATAGTTTCCAGTGCAGTCCTACTTGGAGCTGTCACAATGACGCTGCAGCCTGTGAACGGCAGTGATGTAAAAGAACGCTGATGTYGATGCTCTGTGAGAGTGTGGGAAACGGAGCTGCTTTCCCAACGCTTTGAGGAAAAACACTCCAGAGAAAAATGACAGGAAACCTCCAGGGCCTTTTGATTCRGGCTAAGAAAGTGAGTCAGGGTACCTGGAAGCTCAGAGTCCTCGCAGCTTCATGACTATCAAAGTCCAACTTAAAAGCAAATCAGTTTAGAAAATTATTTAATGCCAATTTACTTATTGGAGGCTTTTCTTTTTAATGCCATTATACCGTATGTGACTTATTGATTTAACCTACTGCGATAATGTCTACTGTAACAGAGGAACTTCAGAGTCTCATATTCTCTTTTAACTTCACCACGGAAACCTCATGGAAAGATGAAGGTCTGATCGCCACGTCTTTATTGTTGCTGCTTTCCTAGCAAAAATAACATCAAATAAAAGTAAAAAAAGGTGCTGCGGTGCATATGTCCCAAGCGCATCGTTTTGTTGGAAATTGGTTTAAAAAAAGTTTAATCGTTTGCACCTGTTGGTACTGGTACGAGGCCATCTGCAGTTGTGGAAAAAGGTTTTCACTGCATCCAGTTCAGATGTTTCCTATTCCTGCACGATAGCCCCGGAAGCCCACCCCTCACCTCCTTCTACAACCATTGTCCACTCAAATCTGCCTTTAATAAAGCGTTTTTTGTTTTGTGACATTCTGTGTAAACTAAGGCATTAAAAACTATCACTTGTGGGAAGCGATTTCAAACTTGTGACTGTAATAAAGAAAAAAAAAAGAGGATTTTGCAGACATATAYACAGTGTAGGATGTGAACTTTAATTTGTCAGCTACAGTTCAGCAGAAAGTTAAGGAACTGATGTGACACTTTTGGGAAAACATTCATTCATTTCTTGTTTCCTGATAAACAGATGTTAAAAGTCACCACTGAGGACAAAGAGGGCAAAAGAGCGACTCAGGTGCTGTTCAAGGCATACAAATCTAAATACTTTGTGCTTTGAGTTGGAAAGAAAATGAAAATTTTCATACAAAACAACGACTGGGTCAAGGGTCTGAGAGGATCAATCATCAATGAAGATGAGTGGATTACAGTACAGTGATTAATGCACCACTCACATTTAATCTGACTATTTAGACATTCAACATTTCTTCATAATCAAGGGTTAAAAGAAAAGTATTAAGATTTATTGACAAATCGTTTATATCTTTTGAATTGAAGGTTTTCCATTCATAAGTAGCTGCCAGGAAAAAGGTAAAAGAGGAAGACTAAAGAGGAGATGTGGAGATGGAAGAGGGAACAGCTGAAAGAAGAAGAAAAAGACCTTCCTCTTATGGTGGATTAGCCTTCAGGACTGGTGGGGTGAGCGCCCAGCTGATCTCCCAGTGGAAGAAAGCGGATGGACCCCATTAGTGATCCTATCGTTTTCTCTTTACCGCACTTCCTGGGTGACCCTCGGCCCCTCACTGACCAGCCCAAGATCAAGGGTCAGGGTTCAGACTGGGTGCACATTAACATGTAGATGGAGACTTCTGAGGCCATAAGATTTATTTGGGGGGAGGTGATGTGTGACCACTTGTCCAGGCTGCAGTTCTTCAGGACATGACCTCAAGTAAAATAAAAAATCTTGTTCTAAATAAATATTTTTTTGACAGTGTGAAAATCGGGGCACTGTATCAGACTTTTATGCTCTTATGCAGCATRAATGATGTTTTCTCTTGTCAATATCAGGGATGGGCAGCTGGCGGTCTGCGAGCCAGGTGACTTCCATCCAGCCTGCTTATAGGCCCCCTCCCCTTTTTTTAACCTAAAAAATAGTAACTGTTTAAAATGTTTTTATTTATGTATTTTGGGCGGTAGACTATCTGTTCGCAGAACTTCAAGGCAAACCTATGTTTTAGTCTGCTTACAGATGCCATGAAAGATTTTAAAATAATTCRCCACCACAACGTTGCACAAAGCTAAATATGAGACGTACGGAAACAACAGCGACTTCTTACCAGAACAACACAGGAGTCTGCACTCAACACGTTTTATGTCGTTGCACTTCAGCTCGCAAAGTGTTTATTTTTTTATTTGCTTCAAGTGTTTTGTTTAAACAAGAGTACAACTGTTATACATGCATTTGAGCATGAAATATCATAATTTATTGCACTGTGTGTTGGTTTGATAAACATGTATATATATTTACAGTATACACAACCATTTTTTTAAATGGCAGTTTTATTACATTTGGGTAAGTGTGCAGCTCAATGTGGTCCTCTGGTAATGTTGACAAAAAACTGTGGCCCCTTCCGTCATTTAATTTGCCCATCCCTGATCTAWACAAACAGGCTCTGCTTCCAGAATTTTGTTCTAAGGCATCTTTACTGTTTATAAACTGCAGATTTTTAGGCCACTTAAGTTGTCTGAAGTCATTGAAGCTGCCTTTTTTTAGACACATTCAGCTCATGTTCTTAAATCTATCTGTGGCAGAGAATATTTAGGATGAGTCACAGAACACCATGGAAAGAACATTTAGAAGTTCAAAGTACAGGATATTAAAAATACATGAGATTTCCAGAGTCGTGGTGAAAGTTTGCGATGAACTGTTTGTACCAGCCTGTGTTATGCGACATGCTGTCCTCCTGTGAGGGACCACTATCAAACACTGGTGCTGTTGATTCATCGCTGTCAGCCTGCCAACATGGTGGCTCGTTTTAGTTTCACTGCAAACACAACACGAGTGGTAGATAGCGCCGAGCCGAGCTCCTCAGCAGCAGCTGGACAAAAGCTGGAGTCATGCGCGTTTATCAGCCGAATCGTTACTTTCAGCCAAATAAATCACTGAAAGAAAGCTGGTGCTCTACTTATCTGTGAATAAAATGTTCCCTGCTTTCACAGCTCAAACCTTTGACCCAATTTTGGTTTGATTTCGAGGAAACTGGAGCTTAAATCACAAATGTGGGCTGGTTTATGCAGGACTGAAACTACCTCTTAGTTTTTTATTCTGACATGTTGCACATGGAGCTGCAATGTGCTGAGACAGAGAGAGAAACCTTATCTGCCCCCCCCTCTTTATGCTCTACTCTCTGTGTGCACTCTTAAACACAGGATGTTTCCAGGACTTTCCTTTATAGACCTATATTTAGATGGTTTTCCTTGAATTTCCCTTCAGGTAATGTAACAGAGAATGTAAAACCAACATTTCAGTGCAAGTTTTTATCAAACTGATGTAGGTTTTTAATGATGCGTGTGTAATATTTTACGCAGTGTCCGACACCGTTTTGTTTTTAACCTGCCACTCTGAGAACTTGCACAGTCCACAAAATACTAAAGTGTTGATTTAAAAGTCAAAATGTGCATTAAGGAATAAGTACAAAACCATTTTTGAATGTTGCTCAGGACAGCCACCAGTTTTGTGAGGAAAAATTGGCAATTCGTCAGTGCAATAGTCAACATTCCTTTGCCACGTGATGTGGGAACATGAGGCAAGAGTTTGTTGGCAACCACAATCACATCTATGGAGGAGATATATGGGACACACAAACCAGCCAGAACATGCTGTTCCTCTTTCTGATGTTTTTATTCAAATACATAAAAAATACACTTTAAAGCAAAATGTTTTAAAAATGTTCTTTTAGTGTGATTGTTTTAAAGCATCACAAGCTTCGGTTTGTCTCACAAGTCTCTGTCCCAAGAAAAATAAAAACGCCTCAACTGTAATCATGAGCAWTACTTTTACGTGAAACTGAAAAAAAGCTCCAGGACGTCTTTCCCTTTAGCATTTATAGAAGTGACGTGTGCAGGCCTTCACAGAGCTCCCATGGAGTTTCGGTCTTGGAGTTCGATCCCTCCACAGTTGTGGAAAATCTTCATTACAGCTGCCTCAATAGCAAAAAGGTGCTCGTCGTCCACCTCGGGACAGCGGAGCCTCATGAACTCTGCGAGCCGGAGCAGGTACTCGGTGTTGTGGCCCGTGTTGCCGCTGCAGATGGAGATCTGGGCGGCGATCTCCTTGTCCGACGCCGGGCCGAGGTAGATGGGGTTGTCCGAGGTGGCGATGTAGACCAGCGCCAGCAGGGGGTCCTGGCTCGTCTCTTTGGGGATGAACTCCACCATCTCCGTGGCGTAGCCCCCCAGCAAAACTTCCCTCACGTTCAGATACTGAAGGGACTGTTCCACCTGGGACCAGGGCACCTCGTAGGCGACGCCCCACGTACACGCCTGGGGTCAGAGACAAAGCTGAGTCAGCGACAGTGCAGGCTGGAACAAGTGCTGCAAGTTATACTGATCAAATCTCTATTTATAGAAACTCGGTTACATTTTACAGCTTGTCAAACTGGAATGACAAGAACACAGTAATGTGTCACATTGTGTGAAACAATCAAACTTTCAATGGGTTAACCCTGTTTTCTAAATGTATACCACATAACTGTAATAAAATAAGATTAAAACTAACTTAATAAAAATGATTGATAGAATTTAAAGAAAAGACTTACCTCCTGATCTGCTACGAGTGTGACAACTCTKCCCGGCTGGAGAGGAAAAACACACATTGATAAGTGAGTAAATCATTCAACATGTTCTGGATCAGTAAACGACATTATTTAAAAATGAAATGGGTAACACTTCCAAGAAAGGTCTGGGAAAATCTAGAATCAAACGGCAGTTTTATCTAAATGAAAAGTCTCACCTTTTCCTTGTCGCCTCGGTGAAAATCATCTCCGTGCCAGAATCTTCGCTTGTATCCTTTAATGTAACCAACTTTGCTTCTTTTATAAGCAAAGCCTGGTTTCCACACCAAGGAGCCATAACCAAATATCCAGAGGTTGCTCTTTTCCCTGATCAGGTCCTGAGGTTTCATCCTGATTTWTCTAAAAAGCAACTTAAAATAAAAAAAGAACAACTTGTGCCAACAGGTCTCTACTCCTCTGTCTTCTGTTTTCTAATTTCCATTCTAGCACAGCTCCACTTCACTCCTCAGAGTTCTAATGTGTAGATGCTCCAAACTCTGCTCCACATCTTCCARTTWTCTTGTAGAAAGGTAGGTGTTCCTKYTCAAAATAAATAAATAAACTTAGACAAATAAACTGTCCGTTTTTTGTTGTTGTTGTTGTTTTTTCTCTCTCAGAACCTCACTCATCAGACACGTGTATTTGTTGTTCAGGGAACCAAGAGCTGCACGATCTGGACCAATTAAACCTCAGAGGGGGGCGGGATTAGCAGAAACATGAACCAATCAGCATCCTCAAGGGGTTCAACTGTTTGAGCTTGAAAAACATTGAAGCAGCAAAGGAGCAAGGAGTGACTGAGTTCATTAGCTGTACATATATTCTTATCATTTATCTCTATTACAAACTCACTTTTCATTTATTAGTAATTTTATTAGGAATGTTGGTGCTACTCGTTGTTTTTAATGACCAAATGTGTTTTTTTTATGACCACAAATTGTTCACTAAATAACAAAAGGTGTTTGCACAGTGTCAAACAGGGAGTACCAGGTAATCACATTACCTATAAATAGCTGGGACTCCTGTATCTGTCCTCTCTAAAGCTCATTATGTGTTCCGTGACTAGGCGTCTGACCTTTGACCCCATGCAGGCTGATACATGATGGTACATTTTGTCCCCTGGTTGCCACTGCTGTGCTTGATACCTCATATGAGTTAAAGGCTGAGAGAGAAGTCGGTTTCTTTTTCTTTCCTTTTTTTTAAGCCTGCTGCCCCCAACTGGCTGTAAAAGTCTTTCGTAAAGTGCTGCAAGTTTCTGCTGCTTCACTGTGAGCCCTCTCTGCTTTATGGTGGGCTCACACCTTGAAATAATAATAAAAAAACACATAAATGATGTCTGCTTCCTCAGCATTGTTGCCCGTGTGTTTATATTTTGAAGGTATTTCAGTTATGCTTTACCTATAAACTATGCTGCGTATGTTCAGTGGCAGAGCCAGACATTTTTCTCAGGGGTGGCCAGACTGGGACCACTACTCACACAGGGGTGGCCAGACTGGGACCACTACTCATACAGGTGGCCAGACTGGGACCACTACTCACACAGGGGTGGCCAGGAAAATTACATAATTTTTTACTTGAAAGTTTCTGCAGATCTTTTTTGTTTTGGTCATTTCCTTATGTCCTTATACAGGCAGTGACTACCTTATAAACATGGGCATCAGAACCATTTTAAAAGTGGGGTAACAAACTGTTGGGGGGGTCTGGGGGACCTCCTTCAGAAATTTTTTGAACAAAATAGATGCCCTGTCCAGCATTCTCATGTATTTTACCAGGTTGTTACACATACTTTTACCTACATAAATAAACACTTGATTTAATTATTATTTCAGAGACAGATTCTTCATTAAACTAGTTTCATTATCCTGATTTTAAGCTCACTGCTACAGCTGAGATAAGTTTAATTAATGTGACACAATTTATTATATCCAATGACGTTAGAGGTGCTTTTTACTTTTATATTGTTTTTTGATTTATTTTTTATTTTAACACATGCCATTGTGCCAAATAATGATGACCTTCAACTACATGTATAAAACTAATGTTAATAACTTTACCCAATGAACAGGGGCAATATTAATAATTACAACAGTGAATTTAAAGGGGCATTTCACTTTTTCTGATTTAGTGATAGGTCTACTCATAACCAAAAGGGACAGAGCATCATGCAGCCTTCAGAACATGAAATGACACCGTGTTAAGGTGACAAATAAATAAATAAATAAATAAATAAATAAAACGTTTGTCACCATAAGTCAGATTACATAGGCATATGTTCAGAACAGAACAGAACATATGTTCTGTATATAAAGAAAACAATCACTTCTTTGTCACTTCTTTGAGCTTGGTAATGTTTCAAATTGTTAAACACTGCCACCAACTGTTCAGGAGGATTATTACGCCCCTAAAGGTTGTTTCACTGTGGAAAGGGTGTGTACAGCAGGGTGGCCAAAGATTTGTCTGTGGTAGCCATGGCCACCACTGACCACCCTCTGGCTCCGCCCCCTGCATATGTTGTCATGTTAATCTGAATTGTTTTAACTCGTAAGTTTCTGGCCAGGGCATCTTTGATGAGTCTTATCTTGTTGTTTAAGCCTTAACTTCACTCTAGTTTCTGCACAATTGGATTGCAGAACTGTTTGTTTTGTCACTGTGGAAATGTGAAAATGTGATTGATGGTGAAATAGGAAGAAGAACCACATTTTGAGCTGTTTTTCTCTGTTGAAGGACCGCAGAACAGGATTTTATCTGAAACTAGGAATACAGTATTTGCTGCTCAGATAAGAACCACTCTTTGCATGTCAAATAGGAACCTGTTTTGGACTGATTTCTACTGAAAGAGTATAAAAGATGCTTCGCAGAGTTTTGTGCTTCTCTGTGCATCTCTTTATTGCAATAAAATTTCTCAGAGACTATTGTGGAGATTTTTTGATCATGTATTTCTGCATTTTGTTTAACAGATATGGAAGAGTTATTTTTCCACTGAATGAATTGCACTTCCAGATTAATATACTGCATCACTTTGTGTCTTTTAATCATTTCAAAAATATTTCACTTRAAGTTCAGAAATCAGGATCCTTTTGTTTCTTTCAAAAACATTGTCTTTGAAATCTGCTTCATCGTTGCTTTGTTTTTGTTCCTTTTTGCTACTTTAACTTTTAGCTAACACTTTCTTCTAGCTTTGAACTAACTTTTTTGCCACTTTTKGCTTTCAGTCTTTTGATATTTTAGTTATTAGCTGGAGTTTTGCTCTTATATGCTCATGTTCTTTGGTATTTTGGGTTTTAACTGACATTTTGATGCTTTTAGCTAGGATATGCTACTTTAAGCTTTTACATAGCATTTTTTTCTACTCAGCTTTTAGCGATTTGCTCCTTTTAGCTAGTATTCGGCTAATTTTAGCTAGTTTTACCACTTTTGGCTAGTGTTTTGCTGCTTTTTGTTTTTACCTAATTTCATCTATTTTAGGTTTTACTGAATATCCTGCTCCTTTAAGCTTTTGGCTAGTGTTTTGCTCCTTTTAGCTAACATGTTGCCACTTTTAACTAGTAGTTATTTTTGGTTTTTAGCCACTATTGTGCTTTACGACCTAGTTTGTGTTGTCAGCCAATTTCAGCTCAAACAGTGAAGAGCAACAAAGAAACAGTGAACAAAATATGTGTTGTGTGTGTCCTTTTATAGCAAAATAGAAAAAAACAATATTAAAAACATAACAAAACAAGACACCAAAACATTTAAAAAATAAATTCAACCTTTTTTGGTAGCATCAACTTAAAACAATGTACAAGTCATACTTCTAATCTCAGTGTAAAAATATACATATWTACAAAAACACTTTATAAAACAAAGAGAAGAACAGTGTTTCATATAATTAAATTACTAATTTACAAAATAACATTATTGGTTCAGTCATTTTCACTGAAGGCGTCCTTGGTATGATAGTCACTACATGTGTGTCTTTGTCTTCAKCAGAGTAATTTTGCATAAAACAGTTGAGGCCCAATCAGGAGTTTCCCTGCGTATTGCATCGTTCGATCTTTTTTTTTTTTTACCTCCAAGTTGCTGTGCAAAGGGGCAAAGGGATCAAGATAAGGCAGGGCACATTATTTTAGCTTCTACACACATTTAAGGCTTTGTGTTCTATTCTAAATACATTCTTTAWAAAACGGATGTGTTCTTAAACTAAAAAAAACCCCTCTAAATATCCTACACAAATGAACCGTTTTCAGTAGTTTTTGTGTCGTTTTTGCTTGCATAGTACAGAATAAATGGAAAATCCTGGCTCGTTCTACTGCTAATTTGACTTGTGATATCAGGGAGCGACAGTTCTGTCTTAGAACACCAAGCTTTCATTTCCGGGTTCCCTTGAAGAAACTTGCACAAAGCAGGTGAAGGTTTGAAACAAAAAACGTTGAAGGGAAATCCAGATTCACTCTTTTTTTGTCCAAAAGTCTTTTGTTTCAGTCTGTACATTCTCACAATAATTATTAGCTTTACTTCTTCTGTAGTCAAAGAGCACGTCCAGTTATCAAGTTTTCAAGAGCAGCATCTTGTATTTAAATAAATCCCAGTCTCTTCGCACTTGTAAACAGTCCACAAGGGATCCAAACCGGACAATGAGTAATATGTTTTGATTATTATACCTAGGAGAGAGAATAATGGGGAAAAAATATTTGTTTTACTCTCATTCTGCATAGAAAAACATAATCTTACACAACCGTACATTAGTTTGAGTGAAACGTTTCAAAATGCTTACCTCGGTTGCGATGATGCATTCATTTTTCTCCTCAGCAACAACTAAAACAGACTGGTAGACCGAGTCTCTAGAGGAGCATATTGTTGATATTCTACACTCGGGCCTTTCACTGGAAAGTACAAATCACAAAATATTAGATTCAATTTCAAATTTAATCAAAACAAAGTACAACAATGAATACAAACTATGTTAATCTCTTCATWCACTCTTACCTGTACATTCTACTCAAATGCTTATTGTCTTCTATTTTCTTTTCACAGTTTTCATCTTTGTCCAAAGGGGACAGTTCGTCCTTGTACCTCATGGAGGATTTATAGTCCAGGAGAAAGTGATTTATAAATTTATGATTTGACTTTTCTGTAGGACAGTCCACCTCCAGTTCAACCTGCTTATTTGTGTTCTTCAGCTCAACAGTTGAAATAAGGTTCTCCTTCTGAAAGTTCGCCTTGGAGAGATTGTTCATTGTCTTAGAGTCCTGCTCCTTGTTCTTTTGTTTTCTTCGGTTGCGTACGAGCACTGCCGCCATGCAGAGAAACACCAGAACAACCACCAAGCCGATCCCCAAACTGATGGCCACAAAGTTCAGCTTTTCGCTGGACTCCAAGCCCCTGTTGGGGCTGGGGGTGTTGGCTGACTGCCCATCTCTGTCCCGGCACTGGGGGCCACCGTAGGGGGCGGGGCAGCTGCAGGTGGGTTTCCCTGCGGGTCCGATGGTGCAGGTCCCGCCGTTCAGGCAGGGCTGAGAGGCGCAGTGGTTTCTGGGTCTGTCGCAGTGGCGGCCCGTGTAGCCCGGCGGGCAGGTGCAGGTGTAGTCATTGATCCGGTCTATGCAGGTGGAGCCGTTTGCACATGGGTTCCTGGCGCACTCGTCCACGTTGATCTCACAGCGCAGGCCTGCGAAGCCTGAGCGGCAGCTGCACATCACGAGGTTACCGTGGACCACACAGTGTCCGCCTGAAAACAAACACAGACCCACATAGTGATTCTCTTTAACACGGAAATCCAGATTTACTGTTAACGCAATGAGACTGATGTTCTACCGTTGGAGCACTGCAGTGAGGTACATTTGTCCATCTTCTTCTCACAGTTGAGTCCAGTGTATCCAGCTGGACACTCGCATGTGTAACTATAGCCGTTATCCCTCTCTTTGCACTTGCCTCCATGGAAGCATGGTCTGTCTGCACAGGTCAGTATCTTGTGTTCACAGTGTAGGCCTTCAAACCCCTTTAGGCATGCACACGTATAGCCACTCTCTGAGTCCTGCAATGACAAAAAAAAGAATTAAAAAAGGTCCCACTAACGACAGCCCCCAACAAACCCCATTCTCTTTCGTTTGAATTCTATTTACAGTGCACAGTCTGTGAACTGGGTCATCCACTGACTTGACAATCAATAGCATCCTCCTGTAGTAGCAGAAAGACCGAGGCAAAAACAAAAACAGGAAAGCCTGTGTTGTGGGAAAGGAGCAAGAGACTTCCGGACTCACCAGGCAGCGGCCTCCATTGAGGCAGGGCTCGCTGTCACACTCCTTGACCTCCGAGTCACAGTTCACCCCCGTGAAGCCTGGMAGGCAGGTGCAGGTGTAGCTGCCTTCGCCTGTGTTCAGACATGTGGCCCCATTAGCGCAGGGTTTGTGATTAGTGCAGTAGTTCAGATCTGGGGACAGAAGCGTCGGAAATGTTACGGGCCTAAAAGAAGAACCCCTTTGTCTCAGACATCCAGTTTCCCGTTTTGACGAACGAGGTCGTCTGCACACCTTGGTCACAAAAGATGCCTCCCCAGCCTTCTTTGCAGGTGCACTGATACGGCTCTTTACAGGTACCATGTTTACAGGATGGATGAAGTTTACACACATCACAAAAGAGTCCCTGCCAGCCGTCTCTGCATCTGTTCACACAGAAAACACGACAGTTGGAAAAGAAAAAACAAATAAAATGGTACGCTGTTTGTAGTCATTTGYAGCTAAAAACACACAAAAAAACCTAGTTTTAGAAAATGAGCTGTAACCCGGGCATCTGAATACTCACTTGCATTCTCCTGGGACTGTACAGGTTCCATTACTTGCATTGCAGCCTTCAAGGCAGATTGCTGAAAAATAAATTAAGTTTTATTTAAATGATTTAACATGAACTAATATCACTAAAACATTTCTATCACATCTTAAATCCCCGTTCTCTATATAAAACCTGTTACCTGACCCTTTTTATTCAACAATCCTTAATTTTGGCTCCTGTTTTGTTCTGAATGTGCCACAGATTTTGCACGCCTTTTTTTTTTTNAAAAAAAAAAAAAAAAAAAAAAAAGCAGGACAGCTGCACCCATTGTTGTCGGGAGGACGGTTCGAGCCCCGTGTGCAGCTGCTGCCCTGCACTGCCTCAACAAAAGAACCCTCAATTTAGTGGCGCGTGGCGCCCGATAATTCCGCGATTAACCCCGGCGCGTGCTGCCGAGCGACCACCGCCCTGGATTAGCGCACGCGCTCAGGCCAAGTTGTCTGTCTTTTATACATTTTTACAGAAATTTGATCCTTTTAAATGTTTTATTTTAAATAATGACTTTTAAGAGAAATTAGCCTACAAATTAATAATAAAAAACACATTCAGGGGACTTTTAAAGCTACATAAATTACAACAGGGTCCACATTTTCCTTACGTTCTTGGCAGTATTCTCCCTTCCATCCAGACAGACAGTCTATGTCTCCGCCAGGTTTGCAGGTGTAGTGGCCAAAACGGTCATCTCTCGGTGTGCATATTTTGGAACAAGTGTCCCCGTAGTAATTTTCTTTGCAGATGATCCGGTATGAGTACCTGAGCTCCGTCTGCGTCCCGACCTGCGCATCCTGGGACCACTCGGGCCCTATTCCCAGCTGCCTTTGGATGGCAAAGGAGCCAATAAGCAGCTCAGGGTCGCTGGGATCTGAGAAGGAAACAACGCTTAAACTTAAACTCTTCTCTTTATCGTTTCAAAAATAATTAATACAATAAATTATGCTGGTTTGATTTCTATTTATTTCACATAAAAGCGACCCAGAAGTGGTTGATATGAATTTTCCCATGCTTAAAATAAAACAAAGGAAGTGCATTGTGCTGGGAATAATTGGTTGAATAATGAATGCCGAGTGATTCATAAGCCGCCCTGACAAACACAAACCCATTACAAAGAAAAAAAAAGAACGCACACCATTGCCAACTCTGTCAGCGAGGTTTAGCCATTTAAACGAGTGGCGTGAGCGCGACTTTGTCTCCCTCTAGCGGTGAAAAGGGCGATCAGCGCCTCCTCACCTTCAGGCTGCTCCGCTGCAGGAGAAAACCAGGCTTCAATCACTAACGAGAAAGCACCCTGAGGAAAGAAAAAAAGAAATACATGTGAAATATATACTATTTTTAAAATGTATTTTCATTTTTTTCTTCACAAAATAGAATTCAAGAATAAAATTTTTTTCATAAAAATATTCTAAACATAAAAAGCAGATAAGAAGCGTTGCTTTGATGTGTTTAAATGTTTCATTTTAATCGAACTTTAGCCTATATTCTTAAAATCCTAAAGCCTGCTTTAGTCATACACATTTCTGTAATAATAATGATGCGTTTTCGTGCGTAAAAGTGTGCCAAGCGCGTCCCCGCCTGCCTGGCGCGCTTACCGGCCAGGTGAAGCTGAGCGGCAGGCGCAGCCTCCCGTCCTGCTGGATGCTGAACGAGTCGGTGCCCAGCACAGGTGTCTTCTCCCAGCCGAACAAGCACTTCCCAGGAGACACCTCCGTCTGGTAGTTCTTCAGACAAACCGTGAAAAAAGTCCTGCAGCCGCTCGCGCTGCAGCTGCGCCCGTTTGCCAGCAAACCGTTGGAATTCTGAAAATGATGGAGATCTATCTCGAACACGCTTGATCCCAAAACCTAAAAAAAGGAAGTTAACAGTGAGCACAGACCTGTGGCAGATTTGTTAGAAACGAGCTAAAACGATGAATCATTAAATACCTGAGTGAATAATATCATAACTATTGCGATGATAGAGGTGAACCAAACGGCCATCCTTTAGAGTTTTCTGTGCGTATCCTAAAAAATCAGTCCGCCTTCCCACTTCTGTTCCAAAACCAAAGCAAATAAAAAAAGAAAGATAAAAAAATAAATATAATCCTGTTTCCAAAGACTGTAGGTCGAGATCCAGCTCCAAAATCCGTATCCAGAAGGGGGGACAAGTCCAAAAAAGTTATCCAGTGCGACAGGTTCAGACAATTATCAGTAACGTCAATATCCACAAGTGAGTCATTCTGTGGTCTTTCTGTGGGCCATCCATCGTGCCGGTCAGCCAGTGGTGCTTTTGGCCGTGCTGATGCGGGGCTCGCGCTGCCAACAGTGATGCGTGCGTGTGGCGGAGCATCAGCGCACAGTGACTCCCAGTGAGGGGACGTCCCTCCCGGGCTTTATATAAGCTGGAGGAGACGGTGTGTCAGTGTCGGTAAACACCACCCACAATCCTCTCCACCTTCCCTCTGCTTGGACTGTAAACATCAACATTCACTGTGGGGATGGAGGAGAGGGTCTTTTTTTTATCCACCTGCTCCTGAAAAACGACCCCATTCCCCACCCCCAACTACACAAACACACATCATCACCGCTGAAGCTAATATATATGATTTTCAAAACGAGCACATTTTTATTAAACCCAAAAGAGATACAAATAAATTAAGGTTATTCTTTGATCACCTTTCATGTTTTAGGCTAAGATCAATTTATGAATAATAACAAAGTAACCAGTTTGGTGAAACCTTAAAAATACTTTTACGCACAAAATGTCATCAGAGTATGTGTTGTGCATGCTCTCAGCTACCACACCAAATAAAAGTGAGTTAAGATCAATTAGCTGTAGCTGCCATCTTCAGCTGAATTAACTCTAAAAGTTAACCAGTTGTAGATGTACATCCAATGACTGATTTTTAACAGTGTCAATAAAATCCATACACTGATTCATGAAATATTTTGCTAACAGACAGACCTGACTCCGATAGTTGCTGGCAAAGTTTTAAACTAACATCTTGTGTGATCAGGTAACTTTTGTTATATGTGTTGGAGATAATCAGCTACCACTACACCAAAGTTTAGCTCAATATGTGAAAAATTGTCCAACTTAAAGCCAAGCTGTTCATAAGAAATTTTGCTAACAGACAAGCACATATCACTTTATAAAGGCACTGTGACACTGTGACGTTTTAGACAACTTATGCCAACTTATGAAAGGTTTGCAGAAATCCACATTAAATTCCATTAAAGATGGAATTTTAAATAATCAACTGGAAGCTTCTTTTAGGCGTGTACGTAATGTAGTGCTGACAAATTGATCAAATATCCAACCTTTATTAGTAATTTAGTGGAAAAAAATCATAATTTGGCATAAGTTGTCTAAGATGTTATAGTGTGACAGGGCCTTTAAACTCAAATTCAAAGTCTCCTTAGTGCATCAGATTCTGAATGTGCTTTTTTCTGTTTATTTGAGCAGATAAAGGAAGATTCAGCTGCATCCAGGACTCACACTGTAAACATGTTCTCTCATAAAACAACCAAGAAGCTTGAGTTCCCAAAAAAATATTTGGTGCACACAAATAAAAACCATCCCTTTTTCTTTTACTGTAAAACATTTAGAATTGATCCTACATTGATTATTGTTTTAGGGAATATTTATTAACCAGTTCCAAACAGACGTCATTTATTTCTGTAACTGGATAGCCAGTCTTTGGGAAGCATGACGTGTTGTAAAGTTACTTATTGTGCTTTTTAGAAAGAAAAAAAAATCAAGCTCTCACCACACAATCGAACACAGATTTGTGTAAATTAAAGTCAATGCTGTATCCWACATGTAGTGTTTGTTGACCTAACATTCACAAGAACAAGCTGAGAAAGAAAAAAAAAAGAGAAGTCTCCTCCATTCATGTCATAAATAGTATGAAAAATGAACTTGCTAAGAGTATATAAAGGCCTCTGAATAAATAAATCCCAATGCCGTATGGATTTTTATCACATGAAAACTCATGCTGGGCGCAGGCTTTGTTCCGTTTATCACCCCCGCCGCAGAGCAGCCTCTCTGGGAGGATTTACAGTGAGGGAACAGGATTCGAGAACCGTTCCCTGACCGCAAAGGTGTGTGGTTTAAACTGCTCTCCCGCCGAGGTGACTTCATGTCTTCTACCCTCCACCCCCCACCTTTGACTTACAGATTTGAGGTTTGGACTCCAGGACAGAGACAATGGACCATTGAGTGTGGAGCTGTGTGAGTAAGAGGCCCGGACGTCTCATACTTGTGTTTAATTGAAGTAGTCAGTGTTCCCACCATTGACTGTGCAGCACAGATCCTGTGCAGGATCAATGTTAAATCATGTGTTCCTGTTCTTTAAAAAAAAAGATCTTATGTCAGTTATCCATGTGGCATACAGACCCCACAGCCTCATCAAATAACAAATGTATAAAGTAACGATGCCCTCCTTCTGACACATCAAAACTTACATACACTTTAATATTTGATGGGCTGTGGTGAAGGTTTTTTCTAGCTCAGGTTACAGTTTGTTGTAAAGCAAATGGACTGTGCTAAACAGGCGGTGATGCTTGAGTTGGCTCGTAGAGCATGAAGACAAACCCAGATCGGACCTGGAGAAGTGCCTTTCTGGTTCTGCAGCTTCTTTTAGTCCGATTTTTATCATTCTTTTCACATTATTGTTATAATATGAATAGACAGAAAGTCTGGCCCCCTCGTTTAAAAAAAAAGAAGAAAAAATTTTAGTACTAAGCTGCACAGCTTATTTACTTTTGGCGAATGCAAACAATAAAATAACTGGCTCTTTTCTGCTGCGTTGCGCTAGAATAAACACAGCCTTGGAAACAGAGTCTGGTCCACCGCAGTTCCATCTGCAGCTTTGTGTGGAACACCATTTTTCTCTGTGACAGTGTTTTGTAAAGCTTACTTCTGATTGTTCTCTGTCTCCTCAGCTGGCATCAAACCCAAAAAATAACATTTGGATTTGGAAATAAGGGGAGATGAAAGCGTCTCTGGACTAATCGAGCTGCTTGCTGTTTATGTGAAACCTGTCAGCTTGTGGTTGTTTGCTCATTTGGAAAACTAATGCTGGTTCCCAGACGTGCCATCTTAAATTCTAAATTCTGAAAGAATGTTTGAAGTCTAATTGTCTATATTATTTGTATCAAGCATGTCCTTCATTGAGATATTTTATGATAGAAGTTGCGTCAGAGCAAACTGTCTGACATGGGTCACACCAGCATAACGTTGATACTTATTATTTCCAAAACAAGATTATTATGTCCCTCATTTAACAAGGATCAAAGATCACAGATTATTCTGCCCTCTGCTGAATGCTTATAAGCTTGATATTTACAGTAAATTGGACAGAGGAACAGTAAACCCCTTGACGTGAGCAAAAATTATCAGAATAAAACGTTCTTTAATAAACCAATGAATATATGTTTAACTTTATTGTGTGATCGTTGATTCAGATGCAACACTTGTCCTGTTTGTCATCCTCATGACAAAATTTTTAACTTTATTTAGGCTACAAATATTCTCTAGATAAAATTACATTTAGATCTCTTCAGTTCTTAAAAAAAAAACACTTCTTGTTCCGAAATCTTCAGCATATTTGCTATATTTTGGTCTTCTTTTGGCTTTTAGTTAGTTTCACCTGATTTAGCCTTTTCATATTTGTAGTTTTTGCTCGTGTTGCGGCAAAAATGGTCAGAAACACGGCGAGAGTGTTAAAGAGACAAATAGTCTTGCGGGGTATGTTCGTAAAGTAATTTATTACGGGCAGACATGGAACAGAAAGCAATCACGAAGTCTGTTAGATGTGGGCCCCCTGTCATAGGCCGGGAAAGCAATGTTATACTGTCAGCTATCATCATGTGATAATGAACAACCAATCAGAATCTGCCTCGTTCTGGTACATGAAGTAGKTCAGCTTGAAGATGACGTTCAGACGATATCATGAGATATGAACAATGGTCAGTGTCAAGGTGATACAGAAAATAAGTATTCCACAACAGCTCGTATTATCCTACTTTCAGTTTGTGTGTTGCTGCTTTTAGTTATTGGCTAATCTTTTGCTGCTATTGTGTAGGGTTGTGCTTCTTTCAGTTAGCCTTTTGCTGCTTGTTTTTTTTTTTACAAACATTTTTTCATTTTACAACTTTTAGTTTTCTGTTGTTACTTATAGTTATTGGTTAACCTCTTGCAGCTTTTAGTTTTAGCTAAATATGTTTTTATTTTTAGCTTTAAGCAAATGTTTGTCAGCTTTTAATATTTATTTAGCTACTTGCTACTTTTAGTTATTAGCTAGGGTTGACTTCTTTAATGCTACTCTGAATTTTTAGATGCTATTTTGCTACTTTAGCATTTAGCTAGCCATTTGCTATATTTAGCTTTAAACTAGTATTTCACTACTTTAGCTTTTAGGCACAGTATGTAGGATTTGTTGTTTTCAGCAACATCTAGTGGTTGAGTGGTTGAATCATCCTCCCTGGTCCTCCCCCCACCCCCACCCCCCCGCTTCGCAAAGGAGTTGCTACGGTGTCTTTCAGGTGTCAAAAACCTTTGATAATTCCAACCGCGATGTCTACCAGCAGCTTCAGGGCTAGTGATGTTTCAAGTGGTAAGATTATGAGCTTTAAAAGTAAAATTATTCCAGCTACAATGACAGACAACAAATATTACATTTATAGTATTACAACTAAAACCGTTTTTGACGCCGCCACCGCAGTTTGTCCTTCATGAGCCTTCGTAGACAAGATGGAGGTGCAAGATGGCGGCTGCCTGTGTGGCGACCCGCGACCATGGAGATATAAACAGCTTTTTATAAGGTAAAAATAATAAAACAAGGTCTTTGTCTGCAATGATTAGACATGTTTTTTATTATTGTCATTAGTGATTATCTCAGTTTCAGCTAAAAGACTTGACAAAATCCTACATACTGTGCCTTTAACTGTATCTTTAACTTTTAGATTTTAACTAAAATTTTCACTTTCAGTTTTCAGCTAGCATTTGTGTGTTTCTACTTTAACTAGCTTTTTGACACTTTTGGCCTTAAACTAGCATTTAGATACTTTTGGCTAACATTTTGCTTCTATTGGACTTAGTGTTCTTCTTCATTTAGCTTTGACAACTCAGTTTCAGCTTCTTCAGCAAATGTCAACCRTCATTCTACACTCAGCGTTCACACGTTTTCCAAGAAAATGTCATTTTGTTTAGTTTTCTTTCTCTTCTCCTTTTCCTTTAACCTCCCATGTCACCATCCTGCCTGACCCCGTACCCTGCTGCTGTTCAACAAACAATGAACAAGTGCTGTAAGAAATTAGCTACAGTGGTAACAGATGGCCTCCTCCAGTTCAGAAATCCGCTCCATTTAATGTGCAAGCAGTTTAACACTTCTTTACAGCACATTTGATCTCTATGCCCCAATCTGTTGGACCAATCAATGGGGGCTTTTGATGTGCGCTGCCAATAGATCCGAGGCATCTGAGCATGCTGGCCT